CCCCCCCCCCAAAAGAAGAGGATAAAGAACAATATTGAGAAGGAATAGAATGATAAACAGAATTTCTTTTTCAAAAAACATAAATTTTCATACAAATTTTCAAATATGAAAGCTGAAATATGTTAATATTTCAAAGAGACGCACCAACAACCCACTATTACCAACATCGATACTGTCCCTAATTTATATACTTGTAATCCAATAGGTGTGAAATTTTATAAAATAAAAACTTTGATATTATTAGTAGTTTAATCCTTCTTTGTATACTATAATTTATTTTGTAAAGTTTTCGCCGTGAGAGAAGATATTCTTTCTAGGATTCAAAGTTTCGTCACGCTTTACGAATTAAGATATGCTCTATTAGGGGTGGGCATCTAAAACCGAAATACCGAAACCGTACCCTAACCGAACCGTACCATACCGATTTCATACCGTTTCATTCGGTACCGATCAATATTCGGTACCGTACCGTATCAATATAGTATGGTATGGTAGCGGTATCAAGTATTTGGTACCGATCAATACCGTACCGTACCGAATACTATTCAGATATATAATTTTCTATTGAATATGTTGATGGATATTGCATATGTTGATTAGGATTTGGTTGATTTGGATATTGAATATGTTGATGGATATTGAATATGTTATATTCAATGGATATTGAATATGTTGATTATGATTTGGATATTGATAATTGAATATGTTGAATCTTTGAATTTGTAACTTAGGCATCACTTATTTTGGTAAATGAATATGTTGAATATTGAATTGGTTCATTTTTTAGTTGTGTCATTTTTGTACCGAAATGGTACCGATACCGACACGGTACGGTATGGTACGGTACCAATTTTGACAAACAATAATCTCATACCGTACCATACCGATTTAAATTTCCGGTATCGATAACGGTACGGGCTCAATACCGTACCATACCGTACCGTGCCCACCCCTATGCTCCATGTGCAATTTGACAATCCGTACTCAAAAGCGAAGTCAACATTGTTAGCCTGTCCGTGACAACTAGGATGACATGTGCGGATATTGGGTACAAGCCCAGACAATTATATCATGCCACGACACCTTGACAAGGCCTTTTGTTCCTGTCCATTTGTCCCAACTCCCTATCTAACATTCGTTTGGTTATTTCCCTTAATAAACAATCAAGTATATTATTTATTTGCTTACCTAAAGTTGAATAGCAGTTCAAAACATTTTTTTTTATTTTTTTAATATAAGCGATGGTCCAAATTATTAGGAGATGAGAATTTCTCATATGCACTAATAAGGTAACATAAGAGTTCGAACCTCATACCATTTTTCCGCAAATCAAGGCACTTTAAGAGATTTTAAGGGAGAATTTTTGAGAGGTAAATGACATAAAATTCAAAGAGTTTTAAGGAATTTTAGTTTTTTTTATTTTTAAAATAGTAGATATTATATCATGTATGGTGAAATATTTTAATAATAAATGGTGAAACCAATAAGAAAGTGTCAAGTATAAAACCCATACGTTGCGATTTGTTTTAGGTGTGCGATTTGTTTGAGTTTCTTTTCTTTCCATGTTTTAACGTTTTTCCTTCCGCCCTACCTACCATTTGCAACTATTTAACAAAAACTTTAAATAAAATAAAAAAACTGTAATTTAAGTCATTATAAATGTTTTTTTTTGCCAACATAATGTCATTATAATTTAGTCAAACAGAAACTGGGCGGAATGACCTGTCTGTCTTCCTGCGTGTGTGCTTTTTACTCGTTTTTCCTGATTGGGTGGGAAACAAAATAATGTACGTGTTCTCTTTAGTTTAGTAGCAAATAATCATCTGTCTTCCTCCTAGTGCACTGTGCATGCCAACAAATTTGCTTCTGTCTTGTCTTTTGGTCTTTCTTTATATCATCTCCAGTCTCCCGTTCACACTCCTTCACAGAAACCGGTACGAAACTTCACCGTTTCGTCACAGTGTACGCTTTAAATTTGTGTTCCTTTTTTTCTACTAATTCATATATATATGTAGATATGTTTATATATCCTCAGGTGTTAATAAAAAAACCAATCTGTCTGCATAAATCTGTAGCTCTCAAGTCTCACCTGCCAGCCACTGTCCTTAAACATGAAGCCGCATCAAAGCAAACCCATCTCCATTTTTTCTGTGCTCCTCTTTCTAGTTCTATTCTCACAATATTCCACACCGGTCACTGCCCAAGAAGTTGGTAAGCATAATGAACTTGCTCTTATTTTCCTTTTGTTTCCCTTATTTTACACAAAGAAAAAGATTGAAAACGACTAAAAAAATTACTAAACGTAGTATATGTTGTGTTTGCATTATGCAGAGGATGAAAGAGAGTTCGATTATCTTCAGGGAAGCGGGAAGGGGCCAAAGCAGTGGGGAGAAATGAAGAAAGAATGGGCTGCGTGTAAGAATGGAGGCATGCAATCTCCTATTGATTTATCAAGCAAGAGAGTCAAGCTAATCCCCAACTTGGGCAAGCTCAACACCGCTTACAAGCCTTGCAATGCCACTGTCAAGAACAGAGGCCATGATATTTCGGTAATTTTATAATAATTTTTTAATTTAATATAGAATTATTTCATAATGTGTAAGAATATGTATGAAATAGTTTAGAGTTGTGGTTTAATTATCATATGCGGTGTTTGCAGATTGAATGGGTGGGCGATGCGGGATCCCTTAAGATAAATGGGACTGAGTATTTGCTAAAACAATGCCACTGGCACTCCCCTTCCGAGCATTCCATCAATGGAAGGAGGTATGACATGGAGCTCCACATGGTTCATCTAAGCCCCGATCCCAACGTCACGAATAAGATCGCTGTCGTCGCAGCGCTCTACAAGATCGGCCGCTCAGATTCCTTCCTCTCTAAGGTACTCGTTCGAAATCAAATGTTCTTCTCGTTAACTCATGGAAATTGTTTTCATGTCAGACTGTATAACAAGAGAACTTTAGCCATACATTCATAATTAATTACTTGACCTCTCCTACATGTTATGAAAAGAACCATTCTCCTAACATGTTGCAAGTTGTGAATTAATGGCAGTTGACAAGGCATATAAAATCCATGACTGATCAAAAGGAAGAGAGAAGTGTGGGAATAATTGACCCTAACAAAATTAAAATCCCTGGGAAAAGCTATTACAGATACATGGGCTCACTCACCGTTCCTCCTTGCACTGAAGGCGTTATTTGGACCATCAATAAAAAGGTAATCAATTATGTGTAGATCCATAGGCTCTGTGTTTATAATTTGGACCACCATCAAGTTTGTGTCCCTTTACCAAAATTTAAATTTCTCACACGCAGATAAGAAGAGTCTCAAGAGATCAAGTAAAGCTATTTCGAGTGGCTGTGCATGATGTAAGTGCTTCAATTCTCTACTATTTTCTTCAAGTAACGCAAATGGCTTGTAGTTCAAATAGTTAAGAGTAGCTATCCTTGCACTCAAGATCCTGAGTTTGAATCCTCGTAAAACATTATTGAGTAGTATCTAATGTTTGGCGTCTTAAATTGATTGCAGTATGCAGAGACGAATGCAAGGCCAGTACAACCACTCAACGTTCGAGAGATCCAGGTCTATGACCAAGGCGCAAGGAGCACGAATAATTGAAGCTGTCTCCCTTGCAGAGATTTAATTTATTACTACATTGATTTATTTATTTTATTTTTTTCAGCTCATTGCTTTGTGTTACTATTCTTCATATTTTATTAAGCTCATTAGCATGAATGTTACTTTACTATAATATTGGACATGTTTTCTTTCACTCATCATAGAAAACGTTTATATCTTCCTCAACTGTCGGGAGCGGCCATGGGAGGCAGCAAAATAAAATGAAAGAAACGTTTATATCTTCCACCATCAAAGAAAACGTTTATATCTTCCACTATCACCTGAAAGAGACGTTGCATAAACAAGGAAAATATATGAAAATAACCGACTTCAAAAGTCTTCATTGTCAGTGAAATAAATTAAATTGGGCCCAGAGTTTCAGTTCGTTACAAGAAAAGAATTGGGCCGCTGAAAGCAAACAAATACACTAAGCATACATTTCGCACGTGGGTTAACTTGCAAAGGCGGATAAAGTGGCATTAAATGCTCTTCAGAGCTCATGTCAAAAATTGTATCAAATCCAGCTCAAACTGCTGGTCATTTGGCTTACTTTCCTCATTTCAAATAAAAAACGGCTTGCTTAATTTCAACAAGGATTGATGGGGGGCTATTCCCCAGTATCTGAGTTATCCCTCTTGCTGTCACTTTGCCATCAAATGACACTATTATCACAAAATCCAGGGGGAAACAACACACAATCTATGTCAAACAGATTTCAGATTTGATCAACTTGATCTCAAGTTTCTCAAACACCTTTCTAATTTTCACTTCTGGATTTCTAGTCAACAACTCCTGAGAAATCCTCTGTCTATTTGCTCTGCCTTCTTCTTGTTAACAGTATGTTGCTGCTGAGGTGTTCGAAGTGAGCTGGATTGTTCACGTGCTTTTTAGTGTTTAGTCCATGTGAATACATGTGTATGTTAGCATAGTTTACTTAGAGGAGAAGTAATGTTAGTTAGCTATATAAGCTTAAGATTAACTTGGGATGTATAAGAATTTTCAGAAAGAAATATACACAGCTTCTCTCTCTCTTCAACTTTCTCTTACTAAAACTCGAAACCTAAATCTCTTTTTCTGCCATGGTTATCATGGTATCAGAGCTTCGACTCTTTGATTCCTGAGATTCTATCCTTCCGCTCCATTATCTCAAAGCTAATTTCTGTTTCAAGTTATCAATTGCAACAATGGCGAATCGTTAGATGCATGCATTTCTCTCAAGTTTGATAATCTTTTTGGCGATTCTGCAAGTGTTCTTCGTCAATCTCTTCGTGCAATGTTCTTCTTGACTCGGTGATGAATTCATCTCTGGTATGCAAATTCTTTTTTCAATCTTGTTTAAGCATGATGTGTTTCCAAGCACGAAGCACTTTCTATGATTTCTTGAAGCACGAAGCAATTTCCTCTGATTTCTTGAAGCACAAAGCAATTTCTATGTTTTCTTGAAGCACAAAGCAATTTTTTCTGTTTTCTTGAAGCACAAGGCAATTTTTCTGATTAATTGAAGCTCGAACTATTATCTCTGATTGTTGAAGCACGAAGCTCTCTGATTCCTTGACGCCCAAAGCAATCTATTTGCGAATTTGTCTTTTTGTGTCTACATTGAAATGTCTCTTAAGTCGAATGACGATAATTTCGTGAAATGGAATTATCAATTAGAATCCATGCTTCAAGGATATGACTTATATGGCCATTTTGATGGCACATCTGTGTGTCCACCTAAATACATCATAACTGAGTCTGAAGGAGTTACAACTGAGTTAACCGAGGCTTATCATCAATGGATTCAAATTGATAAATCCCTGCTTAGTCTGCTTATAGCAACTTTGTCAGATGAAGCCATAGAGTACGTTACTAGTTGCAAATCAACCAGAGAAGCATGGTTAAGTCTTACAAATAGGTACGCTTCTGTCTCAAGGGCTAGGGGAATCAACTCAAAATTTAGTTGCACACCATCCACAAGGGTGGTGATTCAGTCGAGAAGTTTTTACTTCACCTAAAACACATCATAGATCAATTGTCTGCAGCTGGTTTTAAGCTCTCTGATGATGACATTATCATAGCATCCTTAAATGGTTTATCGCCAGAATTTGATATGATAAAGACTGTGCTAATTGCTCGAGAAACACCTATAACTCTTAAAGAGTTCAGAGCTCAATTGTTGTCTGCTAAGAAAAATGTTGAATCCATAATGATAGCTCTGAATCACTCTATGAATGGCATGATGAGTGCCAATTCCGTTGAATTTGGTTCCTCATCTCATCATCAAGATTCTTCTCAGACTCAAGGTATCGTTTCTACAGCTGGTACTATTACTACTCATTCTCAGTCTTCATCACCTATGGGATTCACTGGGGTTAATTCATAAGATTCTTCATCTCATGGTTCTTATCAGTCAGCAGGATCATCTCCTTCATCCTCTCAGACAAACAATTCCTCAGGATCTTCAAATCATTTTGTACCTCGAGGTGGAGGCTCTACTAGTCGATTTTATAACAACAATAATCACAAGGGTGGTTTTCCACCAAGGTTTTCTTCTGCTCCAAGATCTCAAGCTATACCTGAGTGTCAAATCTGCACTAAGAGGGGCCATACAGCAGCAAACTGTTTCTACAAAATTCCAGATAACACATCTACACCTATACTTGAGTGTTAAATCTGGGGAAAAAAGGGCACATAGCGTTGAATTGTTATCACAGAACAAACTTTGCATACCAAGGCTCTCCTCCTCCACGGTCTCTTCAAGCTATGATAGCCAATATGTCTTCAACTTATACACCTAATGTTCATCATTTGCAAGCTTTTGCACCTTATTATTCTGATGAAAAATTCACAAATTGCCTTTTCCTTCCTTTTTGACCACTAGTCATAAACCCTTTACCAAGCTACACACAGATGTTTGGGGCCCTTGAGCTATTATAGCACTAGGTGGTTATAGATATTTTCTACAATAGGTTTATCTCTTCCATAATTTGGTATTATGCAGTCACTCACGCAACCTTCTTGATCAATTGCATGCCAAGTAGAGTTCTAACCATGCAATCTCCATATTACAAGCTTTTTGGCACTCATCTAGAATTACTTTCTCTCAAGGTCTTTAGTTCTGCAGTGTAACCTCTACTTCGACCATACAATGTTCACAAGCTTGAACCAAGGTCTCATCAGTGTGTTTTCTTGGGACAATCCAATGTTCATCTCAAGTCCAATCACTGCAGGCAATTTCTCTTCAAAAGTCTACACCAGTTACCATTGTTATGTCATCTATGATCCAACCACAGTTTACTAATTCTTCTATTAGTTCTTCTACTCCATCCTCAAGTTCTTCTTCTTCTGCAATGGTTGGAGATAATGATGATCGATTGTCACATGTTTGCACTAATGCACAATTAGGTTATTCTTCCTCTTACATCTTCATCTTCAGAATAGTCTCCTGAACAGATACACACAACAAGATCAAGGAATTGTCATCCTATGCAAACTAGATTAAAAATAGATGTTGTTCAATCCAAGCAATTTCCAGATTTTTCTAGTTTTCATACTCAGTTAAATACCATTGCAAAACTAGATACTCCTTCTCATTTTAAAGAAGCTATCAGTCATCGAGAGTAGCAACAGGCCATATCCGAAGAAATTCAAGCTCTTGATCAACAAGGTACTTGGATCCTTGTTCCTCCTCCTTCTCATTCAAACATTGTGGGATGTAAATGGATTTTTAAAATCAAAAGAAATGTAGATGGCACTATATCTCTCGATAAAGCCATATTGGTAGCTCGGGCGTTCAGTCAAGAGTATAGATTGGATTATGAAGAGACTTTCAGTATGTGGTTGCATCATACAACAGTGAGGCTAATTCTAAGTTTGATAGTCAATTTTCAGTGGGAATTAAGGCAATTGGATGTGAAGAACGCCTTCCTCCATGGTGAACTTCAAGAAGAAGTTTTTATGAAGCAACGTCAAGGATTTTTCGATCCTTAGTCTCCAGATTATGTTTGTAAACTTCAAAAATCATTCTACGGGTTGAAGCAAGCTCCTCGTGCGTGGAATGCCAAATTTACAGGCTATTTACCTACTCTAGGATTCATGGTTTCACATTTTGACCCTAGCTAAACTTCCTCAAATGTTGTTATACTGTTACTTTATGTCGACGACATTTAAATCACGAGTTCCAATCCTGAGCTAGTGACATCTGTTATTCAAGAACTTGGAGAAGTATTTGAGCTTAAAGATCTGGGGAAACTTAGGTACTTTCTCGGCCTTGAGGTGCAATAATATCATTCTGTTGGTAAGTTGTTTGTTAATCAAGCCAAATATGCTAGAGATCTCATAAAAAAGGCAGCCATGGATAATGTAAGCCTTGCAACACCCCTTCTAAACCTCATCATCAAGTCTTAAAAGATGAAGGTATTCTCCTTCAAGATCCTACACTTTTTCAAAGCATTGTAGGTGCTCTTCAATACTTAACATTCACTAGACCTGACATAGCCTCTGCGGTTAACACTGTTTGCCAATTTATGCATACACCTAGAGATATCCATTTTGGTCTAGTTAAACAAATCCTCAGATACTTGCAAGGAACATTGCATTTTGGAATTACTTTTTCTCCTAGATCCATGGTTTTATCCAGATATTGTGATGCGGATTGGGCTAGGGATCCCAATACAAGCAGATCAACCACATGGTATGTTGTCTTTCTCGGCTCCAATCCTATATCTTGGTCCTCAAAGAAGCAAGCATCGGTCTCTCATAGCTCTACATAAGCAGAGTATCAAGCTCTTGCTCACTATGTTGTTGAGATATCATGGATACGTCAAGTGTTGTGTGATTTGCATATGATTGTTCCTGAAGCACCAATTTTGTATAGTTATAACTTGTCTACCTTGGCACTTAGTAAAAAACACGTTTTTCATACTCGTATTAAACACATGGATATCAATTATCACTTCATTAGAAAGAGAGAGAGAGTTCAAAGTAAAGATCTTATTGTGCAATATGTTCCTACAGATGAGCAAGTTGCAGAAATTCTGACCAAAGGTCTTCATAGTCCTATCTTTGTCAAACATTTCTCCAATCTCAGCCTTGGTTCTCCCCCAACTGAACTTGAGAGGGGGGGAGGGGTGTTAACAGTATGTTGCTGCTGAAGTGTTCAAAGTGAGTTGGCTTGTTCACATGCTTATTAGTGTTTAGTCCACGTGAATAAACGTGTATGTTAGCATAGTTTACTTAGAGGAGAAGTAATGTTAGTTAACTATAAGGTTAAGGTTAAGCTCTGCTCAAGATTAACTTGGAACATATAAGAATTTTCAGAAAGAAATATACAGAGCTTCTTTGGGTTGGTATGATATCCAGTTGAAGTAGTTCGATTCCAATTGTCATTGTCTAAAGTTCCATTGCATTTTTAGTTTATGTAGTCCAATTTGAGCTTGGCTTAGTCCAATTTCTTTTCTTTTACATGTGTTTGAGTTCAATCAGAATTGTTTCACTTGACATAACATCCATCCAGACCCAAATTTACTATCATTAATAGAAATTCATTCAGTCTGATTACAGTTCTAGGCCAAAATTCATTAATTAGGATGAATGTTGCTTTGTAATGGACATGTTTATCTTTCACAAGTTTTTTTCTTTGTTTATCCAAACGATGAAAGGAATTCATTCATCAAAGAAAACGTTTACAACTTTCTCAAGTGTCTATGAGCAACCAAATAGAAGGCAGGCTATCTCAAGCACAAGAACTAAATACACATAGACGTATAATCCGTGATCAAATGAACGACAATGTTGCATAAACAAGGAACATATATGAAATTGTCGGTACAATTTGTAGTTGTTGACCTCAAATGCAAGGGTGGAACTAGGAATTTTTCGACTAGTGGGCTAGCTAAATTTTTTAACTAAAATAAAACTATGCATTAAATCATATAAACCACGCTAATAGTATACATTAAATCAAATAAAAGTATAAACCACATAAAGTATGCATTAAATAATATGTTCAACAACATAATTAAAAGTGGACTTATTGAAGTTGTGCCATGCGATCCTTGAGAGAATTGAAATCTTTTGTTATTACATCTAAATTGATATTGTCAACAAGTTCTTTTTCAATGTAGACAACCATAGAATCTGCAAGAAACTCATTCTCCATCTTGTTGTGAAGAGCTATTTTAACTAGCTGAAAAAGCTCGTTCAGTAGTTGCCATAGAAACAGGGAGAGTTAGCACAAGACGAATCAACCTATCAATCAAATGATATCTTTCTGACCTTTTCGTTTCAACTAATCCCTAACATAATTCAAAGAGTGTAGACACTTTTTGAAGTACAAGATGATGAGGTACATCCGCCTCGCTCGCATATCAAAATATGTAACTCTTTTGGAGTGAAATCTTGATGATAAAATCTCTTTGCAAGGCTGCAAAGCTGAACTAAGAATAAGAAGTTCCATTGCCCATTCGCTGAACCTACTGTTCAACTCTGCCAATTCAAAATCTATTGCATCATTGAATATGTCAAAGTGGTAATGATGCTCAACTGTAATATTGTCCTTATGCTGACAAGAACGACATGTTCCCACTTTATATTGAGCATTCATATCAGGCATATCAATGTCATGTTTCTTGCAAAACAAATCTACTTTCCCAATAAAAGTTTCCCAACCATTTAATATCAATTTTCCAAGGACATCTTTTGTTGTACCAACTACGTTCATAGCATTCACGATGTCTTGAGACTTATGTTGTAGTTCTCGACAAAAGATATCTATGAGTATAATTTCTTGCAACAGATGCAAGATGAATACAAATTCGAATTGCCTAATCGCATTGTATCCACCAGTAGCTTCCCCACGTAAGGAGCCTATGGATCCATCCTTCTTTATATTCTCAAGAGCCGTACAAACTGCATCATACATTACTATTAAATCATAATGAGAACTCCACCGAGTAGCTCCAGGTCGATGCAAGGTACCAATTTGATTAGCTCCTCTACTAGTCTCTCGTTCACCAGCAACCAACAACTCTACAGTATCATTGATTGAGCAACTTGTAACTCAATATGACATTTCGGAGAAGCCCTAATGACATTGACAATTGAATTCAATGATGAAAAGAATAACCAAATTGTAGCCACTTCTTTTGATGCTGAAAGTAATGCTAACTGTTAGTTGATGAGCAAAACAGTGTACATAATATGCATATGGGCAATCTCTAAGAAATAATGCTTGTAGCCTATTCCATGCACCCTGCATATTACTAGCACCATCATATCCTTGACCTCTCATCTTGTCAATACATAATTCATGGAGATCAAGTACTTTCTTGATCTCTTTCTGAAGTGTTGATGTAGTAGTGTCTTCAACCCACACAATGTTAAAAAAAAATTCGCTTAGAAAATCATCATTATCAACAAATCTCAAAACAATAGCCATTTGCTCTCTATTTGATGTATCTTGTGATTCATAAAAAAGGATACAAAAAGCAGCATGCCCAACTTCTTCACGAATTTGTTTTCTCACTTTGTTTGCGAGAATATTTAAAATCTCCTTTTGAATCTTGGGTGAGGTATATTTTGCATTTCCTGGGGCATTCTCTAGAACAACTTCAGCCAACTCATCATTAAACTTTGTTGTATGCTTGACCACTTTAATAAAATTTCCACGATTTTAAGAATCCAAAGACTCATCATGACCCCTGAAAGCACATGCCTGATATGTAAGACACCGAAAACACTCTATCGTTGTCTTGAGCAGTAACCGGTTTTTTAAAATTTCTTCCTTTGATTGTTGATTAATAACTTTGTCAACATGGTGAGATGGGTTCATCAAATCCTCCATACATCTTTCACAAGTATTATGCAATGAAAATGGACCTCCAACATGAGTCAAAAATACACAATCATTTCCATCATTAACTCTTTTCCAATTATTAAAACCCTCAGTAGTTAATGCAAGACGACCATTACCAAAAACAAGACATGGAAAACAATAGACTTTATCTTCTGAAGGGAAATATTCTAACCATGGAAATTGGGAGAACCAAGAATATTGAAATCGATGATATTGCAATCCGAACTGAGACCTTGGATATTTTGAAAATTTTGGTTGCTAAGGTCCAACTTTGATATGAGCACATCGAACCTCATCATGTTGATTAATAGGGTATTCAGATATTTGAATACGTTTCCCAGAGTCTCGTTCCAAAAAAGCAACATCAAACTAGTTAGGTTCAACTACGAGATATGTGTGATGAGGTGGCTCAATTGATGGTGAAGCCTTATCATTGAATGTAGAAGCCTTGTCATTGTCTAATTTATCACCATCATTTTTTTTCTTGAAGACTGAATGAATAGTTTTTGCTCTTTTACTTGCTTAGTTATGATGTAACATTATAATCTAATAACACATATAAAAAATAAAATAATTTACTTTATACTAAACAAATCAATGAAAAAAATAAAAATTCGAGACTCTGGAGAGTTAGATACCTTTATTATGCGTATTGACGATGAAATTGACTTCGGTAGCACAAAATACAAAACACTATAGATAATCTTTTGTGACTGCTAGGGCTAAGTTTCATAAATATGAATATTGTCTTTTTATTTTTTTTATTTTTTATTTTTTATAGACTGACTAGGATACTTGTAAAGTTGCATAGGACAAACTAGGCTAGGAATAGGATACTTCATTAGGCCAGACTGGGATGCTTTATTGAATGGGAAACTATAGGATACTTTATTGAATGAGAACTGAACCATACAAGAAATATACATTGAAAAAAAATAAAACAAAAGAATAAAATAAGAAAATAGTCATACAAGACCCCATCCCCAAAATAAGGCCCAGCAAACAAGAAGAGGACATGTTGACTTTAGCTATAAGTCTAATTTTTTTTGTTTTTAAAAGGTCCTTGGGCTACAACCCACTATAGCCCATATGCTGGTTCCGCCCCTGCTCAAAATGATCTTGGTCCCTTTATTATTTATAAAATAATAATAAGGCACACTTTCTCGCCTAGAAGATGGTAGTAACTAATGTCCTTTTTGGTTGGGTGAGTACGAGGCGAGCCAGCACAATAATCTCAAGTGGCCGAGTATACAAATGGATGGTGTGCTGGGTTCTGACTTCGTCGAGCGATTGTGGTCGAGAAAGGAAAAACTCTCAACTGTAAGTCCTTCTATCTTGGCAAACAAGGTTTTTTTTAATGTGTTTAGTTCACAAAAGGGATGCCGTATCCTGCGGCAATGAGACTCAACGAAAATAAACCTAAGACTAGGAATTTCAATGAGTTTATGGATATGAATGCTCAAGTAGACTTTGAAATAAAGAAAGAAAACTTGTTTATATATTAAATGAGCGATTACAAAGGATGGTGCTCAAAATCTTAATTTGTTCGGTAATACAACTACGTGAAATCCTAAGAAAATTATATGAAAAAAGTTCATAAGTGCATTCTGAGTTCGTTTGCTGAAAAATTTATGATTCCTTTTCCAAATGAATCCTTCTCCGATTTATAAAGAAATCCTTGCGGCTTTTGAAAGTCTTACCTCCAAGAGTAAGATAAGCCACCACCCAAGTATTTGCATGTTCTATTTAGTTAAGCTGCGTTTTTACCTCAATCACGAGTGCCAAGACTTCCTTCTCTGATTACTCCTCTTCTTTTGACAGTCTTGAATTTCGGCTTACTTCTCGGTTTTACTTGGATTCGATGTTGATCTCAGCCCAACCTTGGTTGTATTGGTCTTGTTTGTTCTTTGGTTATAAATATGGGCTGAAACCCATTTTGGTTTATTCAGCCCTCCTACATTCTTGCCAATAGCAGTGTGACATATGTGAATAAGTTTTTCTTTTTGTGTTTTTGATGAATTATTTTTGCATATGTTTCAAACTGTGATTCGTAGGAAGGAGGAGTATCTCCATACATGTAAGGAGGCAAGCAATATCCATAAAAGAATCTCTTTAAAAAAAAAAGTGACAACATCCAAAAGAAACTATTGTAAGACCGAGGGGTTTACCTCAATGGTGAGGTCCCTCCCCCTTCCCCTCCTTGGTCACTCATTCGAATATCAGGAAAAGTGCCCCCAATTGTTGTAATTAAAAAAAAAAAATTGAAAAAAAAAAAAGAAAGAAAAGAATATTGTAATGTAATTGAGAAGTTAAGGTCTCAGGCTTACCATTCAATAAATCGTGAGTCAAATTTTGTGAAATTCGAGCGAAATTTAGTTCAGACTGTTCATTAATAAATTAATAAAACGTTTAACAATGAACTCAGAGGCGATTTCCAGCCTTATTTTTTTTTCATTGGATATTTCAGCTACCAACTAATTAAATCCAAGTCTAAAAACCACATATCTTAATAGAAAACTAGAAGATGTCAACAGAAAGATACCGTGGTTTATGGTTGTTCATGAATGTAGACTCTGCGATTTCCAAAATTTCTTGTCACTAAGATTCAAGTCTTCAATTGATCTTAAAAAACAAAACAAAAAGTTTCGTCACCCTTAAGGAATTAAATATGTCTCTCCATGTCCATGGTGTTCTTAATCAGTACTCAGAAGTAAAGTCAACATGTTACATGTAGTTTAGTAAACCTACATATATGTGCGACAAATACGATGACATATGTGCTATCCATTTGTACGGTTGCTAGAACCCCAAACAATTATCATACCACGGCACTTTGACAAAGGCCTTTTGTCTCACTCTAACAATGTCAACTTAGAACGATATGTCAACCGTATTAGTTAATGTTATATATGGGTGATAAAACAATTTATATATGCTGTGGATGATAAATCACCCACAAAAATATTTGAAGTCAAGAAGGGGGGAGTACTATATTCGAAGTTGTGCTACATATGACCGTACAAAAACTCTGTAACTCACGCCAAAAATATATAGTAGAAAAATTTATTTGTAATGGGGATAGCACTGTTTTATTATCCCTAGTCAATAACACAATGACAAGTGGAAAAATTATCTCACGTGTTATTGTGTCATTGGCCGTGGATAGCACTTTTTGCTATCCCTGTTGCATGAAAGTCTTTTTCAAATAGGTAAAATTTACATATCCTCTTTGATAAGGCAATTTTGCATACTTCAAAAGTAATAAGTAGGCAATATAAAATGGGTCCCACCTATATTTTATAATAAAATGGGTAAAATCTACATATCCTCTTTGATGAGTCCCACCTATATTTTATAATAAAATATCATCTCCTCTATCTCACTATATATTTTTTTTTTATAAAAAGAAAAAGTAAATATAAAAGGTAAAAGTAAACCATATAACAATAGCATTGTCTAGCACATTGGAGTGATCAACTTTTTTTATGAAATGGGTAGGCAACATATATGCCACATAGTTTTTAAACGGGTTGTTACCAGATAGGCCCTTGTAGGGTAGTTTGATACACATGACTGTCTTGACATGAATTATGCTTAGGGACTGTCTTAAGGAGGTGTTTTGGTGAGCAATATAATATGGATGTTATACTTTGGTGAGCATGGACTAGTTAATCCTCCCATTCCACATGAGTTTATTAGTCCTTTCTTAAGGAGGTGTCTTAAGGATGTAAACCTTGCTATTCGTCTTTAATAAAACTCTCTTCATTTGGAAAAAAAAAAAAAAAAAGAGGTGTTTTTGGTGGGCCCGATATTGGCAATCCCATTTAAGACTAGGATTAAATGAAAAAAAGAAGGACAATAATTAGATGATAAATAAATAATTTGTGTAAGACACATAGGAATGTTTGTGTACGTGTGCATTACTTTCCCAACAATATATATTTGTGTGTGCATTAATATATAGATACTAATGTTTATATATATTTGTGTGTGCATTATGTGCCAAACGTTTTGAAATTTAAAATAAATTAATGTGTGAGTAGTTAAATTTGCAATGAATTCCAAATTTAGGAGGGGAAAGAAATCAACACAATATATAAATTGAGGATCCCAACATTTAATCCTAGTCATCGGGTTTCGGAATATAAAAAAATACAATAAATTACATTTTAAGCTTAATTATATAACTTGCTGAGTTAGATCTTAGTCATTGTGTTTTACTTATAATAAATTAGGTTTTCTTCATAGAAAAAATAAGATAATGGGTTATAGGTAAGAAAAAATTAGTTTGAAGGGTTAGCTACATTTACTAAATACATTATTCCTGTTGGGCATTAAAATAATCATGCACTTAAGCCTCTGTATAATTGCATTCTTTTTCTTTAAATTTGTTAATAAACTTTTATTTACAGCATGTCTTTGGTCATTCTTTATTGATTTCCTTCAGACAAAAACAAGTACGAAACTTCATGGTTCGTCATTGTGTACGATTTCAACTTGTGTTGCTGTCATCTTCATTTACATATATATATATATAGACACACACACGCATACTCTCACAATCCACTATTACTACTACAGCT